TTACAAAAATTAATTTTTGAGCTAATAATCATGTATTAAATAAATAAATAAATTATTACTAATAATTTAAATTATATTAAAACGTTAAAATATTATCGTATCAGCAAAATGTCACGATATATGATTTCCATCCAAGCGAAGTAGACATTTTTCCATTTTATATCTGCAAAAAAATTAATTAAATAAAATATTAAAAACATTTGTTGAAAACATTTTGATGTTTCGATATAACAAATTAAGTTAAATAAATTTTAAGATTTTACAAAAGATTTTCTAAGTATATTCGATGTAATTATTCGAATATCAAAATATTACTCCAAGTTTTTCAAAGTTCATTTTAATTCTTACTAAAGTGTAAAATTGTGTTTTATACTTAAACTATTTTTAAAACAATTTTACAAAATATTTCGAACCATTTCAAAGCCAAGAAAAATCAGATTGCCCAGGGGGTACAGATTCCCCCCAGGGGGTACCGATTCCCCCTGTCTAACGGTCGAAATCAGATTGCACTTAGGGAACCGATTCCCCATGAGGGGGTATTGATCCCCCCACACTCCAAGCTATTTTATTAATGGATTCTCATCTCCAAACGGCTCCAAAACATCCCCAACGACTATATACGACTTCAAACACATTCCAAGCTATAAATATAAGCTAAGGACACTTGAAGAAGCAAGAGAACAACTATCCAAACAATCTAACACAAGAGAAGAGTTTTTCAATCTTATTTCATCTTTCTCTTGTAAATATTTTGTTCTTGTGAGCTCAATCTTGTAAACACCTACCTTAGAGTGGATTTCTTGTTTACATCTTTTATCCTTTTGTAAAGGGGAAAGGTTCTAGCTTAGCCCGTGTAAAAGCTAGGGAAAGGTTCTAATTTAGCCCGGAAAAACTAGGGAGTTTGTAAGGTTAATTTTTATCCTCAAAAGAAAGAACAAATTAGTGAATTTGTGGAAAATCCTTGGTGAGAAGCTAAGGTAGTGGATGTAGACTTTGGTTGAGAAAGTCGAACCACTATAAATCGTTATGCAATTCTCTATCTTTCAATCTCCTTACTCCCTAAGTACAAAACCGTTCCGACCTCTCTTTGTAAATCGTTCCGGTTGTCGATTCGAGCTTCTGAAAATCCCAACAATTGGAATCAGAGCCTAACTCATTAAGAAGATTTAACCACCTTGAGACGGTCCTCAAAGAAGCTCTATCAATTCCCAACACAACCAAGAAGATGGCTTTCACCTCCTTCTCGTTCCACATGGAAGACTCCCTACCAACGGACAAGCCTCCATACTTCAATGGAGACAACTATCGTCATTGGAAGAAATTAATGAAGGTATTCATCCAATCCAATGATCTTGATGTATGGGAGATAATCGATAGCGACTACTCTTCTTCAAAGAAGAAGGAGAAGAAGCGGAGTGACAAAGAACGGAAGAAAGCTCAACTTAATGCCAAGGCCATGTACATGGTGTTGTGTGCATTTGGTCCTGAAATCTATGAAGGAGTTTCTTCATGTTCAAGTGCCAAGGAGCTTTGGAATAAGCTCGATGAAATCCATGGAAACAAGAAAGACGAACCAACAAAGGTGGTGTCTCTAATGGCTCTTGAAGAGCCCAAGGTATCTTCTAACTCAAATGAATTTAATTCATTTACTTTTGATGAGTTACAAGATGCTTATAATAGGTTGTATTTGGGATTTGAGACCATGAATTCCAAATATACGAAATTAATTTCAAAACTCAAAATTGAAAATAAATCGATTTTGAAAGCTAGATTTGATTTTGAAAATCAAAATGAAATTTTGAAAAATGATTTAGAACTTTCAAAAATCAAAATAAATGATTTAGAAAAGAAAATTTTTGAGTTAGAAGTTAAACTTGAAAGCTTAACAAAAGAAAAAGAATTAATTTCTAAAAACAATCTATTATGTTTAAAAATAGCAAAATGCTCACATTGCCATTATCATGGTCATTTGGAACATACTTGTCCTTTGAAGAAAGGAAAACGTTTTAAAATTAGGCAAGTATGGGTTTCGAAAGGAACAAGGGGCATTGAAACTAACGTCCAAGGATCCAAAGTAATTTGGATACCAAAATCTACTTAAATGTCTCTTGTAGGTGTGTGGAAGCAATTGTGATGAAAATGATGATATTCAAGATGCTCTAGCCACACATGAAAAGGAATGGGTAACCTCTAAGCTTAATGTTTTTAATTTTAGTTATTTGGTTGCTCATTTGATTTTAAGCATGCATGAGTTTTGTTTTTAAATAATTATACATTATTGTTTTAATCTCATGTATGTTAAAAAGGTTTTATGATGAACATTTTAAAGTTTTAATGATTTTTTAATTTTTAGTTCATCATAAGGAATTTTGGTCAAAATTGGTTTTAATGCAAATGATATCTCTCTAACAATTGATATTAACTTTTCAAAAGTTTTGATTTTATAAATTTTAAAATTTTTGACCTAAAATTAAATGTTTATGCATGTGGTTTAAATGAAAATGATATCTCTCTAACAATTGATATCAAAATTTTCAAATGCATGACATTTTTGGAAAACTTTATGCATATGCACTTAATTTCAATAATTGATATTGCATAAAGTATTTTAGACTTGGATGTATTGAATTTCTTGTGCTACTAACATGTTTGTTATTCTTTGTTGAAATTCAATTTTGTTTAAGTGTCAAGATCCTAAAAGCAAAATTTTATTTGGAATGCATTTATTGAGGGGGAGCTTTGATTTTTTCAAATAATTTTTAAAATGTCAAATTTACTACTTACTCTCCAAAGTTATTTTGAACTTCAAATATTAGAGTCTTTTTGATTTAACAAAAAGGGTGAGAAGTGTTAAATAAGTGTTAAGGTGTTAAAGGAGAGAAGTGTTAAAGTAAGGGGGGTAATTTCAAACTCTATTTCAAAACCTTAAAATTACTCAAATGTTTTGTTATATCAAAAAGGGGGAGATTGTTGAAAATATTTTGATGTTTCGATATAACAAATTAAGTTAAATGAAATTAAAGATTTTACAAAAGATTTTCTAAGTATATTCGATGTAATTATTCGAATATCAAAATATTACTTCAAGTCTTTCAAAGTTCATTTTAATCCTTACTAAAGTGTAAAATTGTGTTTTATACTTAAACTATTTTTAAAACAATTTTATAAAGTATTTCGAACCGTTTCAAAGCCAAGAAAAATCAGATTGCCCAGGGGGTACAGATTCCCCCCAGGGGGTACCGATTCCCCCCAGGGGGAACAGATCTCCCCCAAGGGGTACTGATTCCCCCTGTCTAACTATCGAAATCATATTGCACTTAGGGAACCGATTCTCCATGGGGGTATCGATTCCCCCATGCTCCAAGCTGTTTTATTAATGGATTCTCATCTCCAAACGGCTCCAAAACATCCCCAACGACTATATACGACTTCAAACACATTCCAAGTTATAAATACAAGCTAAGGACACTCGAAGAAGCAAGAGAACAATTATCCAATCAATCAAACACAAGAGAAGAGTTTTTCAATCTTATTTCATCTTTCTCTTGTAAATATTTTGTTTTTGTGAGCTCAATCTTGTAAATACCTACCTTAGAGAGGTTTTCTTGTTTACATCTTTTATCATTTTTTAAAGGGGAAAAGTTCTAGCTTAGCCCGTGTAAAAGCTAAGGAAATGTTCTAGTTTAGTCCGGAAAAACTAGGGAGTTTGTAAGGTTACTTATTATCCTCAAAAGAAAGAACAAATTAGTGAATTTGTGAAAAATCCTTGGTGATGAGTTAAGGTAGTGGATGTAGACTTTGGTTGAGAAAGTCAAACCACTATAAATCGTTGTGCAATTCTCTATCTTTCAATCTCCTTACTCCCTAAACACAAAACCGTTCCGACCTCTCTTTGCAAATCGTTCCGGTTGTCGATTCGAGCTTCCGAAAATCCCAACAAATTTAAATACTTAAATAAATTAAAAACAAAATATTAAATATAATAAAATATATCATAAACAATTAAAATAGAATATAAGAGTATTTGAGAGAAGTTAAAAGGATTTGGTGTGATGAAAGTGATTAAGAATGTGAGTATTTATAGAGAGGGGGTGGGGTGTGAACGGCCGGGGTAGGTAAATAATTAAACCTAATCATCATTAAAGGTAAAGCGCGACCCATGCCCCGCGCTATACCTCACGTGGCACTATATCAACGTAAAACGCATTGTAAGGACGCATTTTACTACTAAAGGTGTTATATAAAAAATAGTCTGAATGGTGCATGACATGGAATAATATAGGACATGTGATATTTCGGAAAAAACGTTTTGGGCTTTAGCCAATTATTATTTCTTTTTCTAAAATAAAAAATATATTTTATTCATACCGTTGCATCTCAACCGTTTGATGTGCTTTGATTAAAAAAAGAACAAAAAAACTCTATAAATTGTGGAGGAAGAGGAACTCTGCCAGTTTGATTCTTCACGGTAGGGAGGATAATTAATATTAAATCAAGAAAATGGAAATGTGTGAGAGATGATAATAGGGTGTTCGATTTTCTCTTTAATTTTTCTTTGATTGCAAATTTCTTTCGCACCATCTACAATCTCCAGTCTAGTGTGTTGAATTTTACCTTTTTTTTTGCTTTTTTTAACCGGAGAATTCAACGTGTATTTTTATTTTCCGGTGACGCTTTTGTCCGATTATTGTTTCGTCGATAATAGCTCTGAAAATCACCTTTTGAATTTTGAGCTTTTTGGCTTGCAGTAGAAGTTGCAATATTTGGGGGAAAAAATTAGCTTTTCTGTTTGTTGACTTTTTGATGAACTTTGTTTGACAAATTTGAGGTAAGAGAAAGGGTCATAGAACTGTAGACCAAAAAAATTAAAACTTCATTTGATTGGATCATAAACTTGTCTGGGTTTGATTGAAACAAACCTATGCTGAAGTCAGTCTGCTTGAGTTCAGTTCACAAGCTTTTGATTCAAAAAAATGTTGGATTCAATCATTATTTTTCCAAATTATGATATATTTTTTTCAATAACTCGATTTGACCATTTCCTAATGTTGTGGTTCATTGCAAGAAAAAAGTAGATTTTTTTTTTAAATGGCAGTTTCTTTTTCTGGGTTTCCGTGGTGGTTTCGGAGCGTTGGGAATAAAGATAAACAGCTTATTTCAAATGGGTCTTCTTTGAATTCTTCATCGTCCTCTTCTGACACTGTTAAATTCCAAACAAAGATAGCCCCTTCAAAAGGAAAGTGGCCAGGTGGTGAAAAGACAAGGGTGGTTCAATCGGATGGTTTGCTTTTATCTGGATATGAATCTGATGGTCCAGAATGGTCCATTGGATGGGAAGAACCCCATGGTCCTGGTTTTCAAGTTGATGACGATGATGATGGTGGATTTGCTGTGCTGGTTCCTTGTTACAAGCCTGGTTGCAAAGAACTTGTACAAGGCCCTAGTAACCAGCTCTTGTGTGCAATCAAGAACCTCTCCAATGGTTTCTCTTCTGGTAAGAACTTATGCTTATATAAATGTACTGAATCCTTTTTCTTTTTTGAAAATATTAAGTTAAAGCACTGTATCTATATTTATCAAGTAGCTGAGATTGTTCTTCATTCCTTTAAATGCCTGATTGTAAGTTTTTGCTGTTTATGCTTGATGGAAACACCAGTTTTAGGTACTTTGAAGGTGTTGAGAACTTTAAAGTTGATACAGATTTTGCAAGGCAGTGTCATGAAATTAGTGTTATATTGTATTGCATACCTGGATGGTCATTGCACAACTTTGTTACTTGTACTGTGTGTGTGTCTCGAATACGGATACAATACGGGAGTGTTCGATTTTTCTTGCATTTGGGAGACAGTCTTAGAGTATCATATTTCATATCCATGTCTAAATATGTTTAGGAAACATGTTGGATGCAAAGTTATATCTGCAACAAAATCCCGGCAGCAGGCGGCATTATTAGGGAAAGCCTCTAATAGACATACATTTCGATGAAAACTAGAGCTTCACGTTTGCACTTGTTTAACTTAACATGGTTCTTTAGACTTGGTGAGCGTTGAGCTCAATCTCTAGTACGTAGAACTTCTATCGCTTCCCCTTTGATCTTTTCGCGGCGGATGCACTCTTTGTGTGGGCATTAGGGTCTGATTTAGGGCGAGCCTGAGTTGAAAGCATCAGATAGAAAAGAATTCGTAGGTGATTTTGATGCAACTTGTCCAAATGTATCAGAAAACTCTGCAGGATCAGTTTTCAGGGAGAACTTATCGCCCTATTTGTTGCAATCTTTTCTCGAGCGATGTTTCATGGACTCTTAGATCGAACTCAAAAGAAACTTGAGTTTCCCAATGCTTGATATATTCGTATATGGTTAAGCTTTGCATATGTATTGAAAACATTTTCAATTACAATTCGCAGTGTACTATTTTGCGTGAACTTTCTATTTCACGGACTGGAGCTTTGGACTCACCATCTTTAACTCTGTTGAACTCGAAGATGTGTGATTCAGGTGTTTCAAAGTTTTAAAAGATGTTTGTATATAGTGCATTGGACATTTTCATGTTCAAAATCGATGCTCTTTTCACAGGCTGAAGATTTCTTCATGCATACTAACATTCTCTATGCATTTTGGTTAAAAATATGCCAGAGGGAAGCGACTCCATCCAGCAGTGGTTTCCTATTATGTAGATGAAATCTCCCATAAATGTTTCAGCCGATAGAACTGTTGAAGTAATCATATTTATAGTATATGAGAATAATGTAAAAAAAGGTGTGCGATACCAGTGGTACCGGCAGCGGCAAGAGGCAATGATCTGCTTCAGCTTCCGGTGGACTTAAAGATGGACTCTGAAGAACATTAATGTACTCTGTTCTGTTAAATCATCATTTTGTGTTTAAAATGCAGTTGAAGTGATCTGTGGAAACATGAAGAAAATGGCCGATCTTGTATTTTGAATTCTGTAAATAGTTATGGAGTAAATATGCAGGAAAAGAAATGGCCCTTGTCATTCAATCGGTTATATATATATATATATATATATATATATATATATATTTCAATGGCTCAACATTATCACCAAAATAAAATATAATAATTCAACATGTTATTTATTAAATAAAATAAAATTGAAAAAAGTCGGTTAAATGAAAAAAACGAGTAAATATCTTAATTCTTAAAACCCTGATAAGAAGACAGATCGCCACGTGGAGACAGGTAACTGGCGGAAAACTTTAAAACTATTTTCTCCTGTAATTGTTTAAAAAGAATGCGACAAAGAAAGCTTCATTGTCTCAAGGATATAATTGGGGCGAGGTTTGCTCGCTTCCATGATTCCACAACAAAAGCAGATGAAACCAAAAAACCACAACAAATTTCATTGTTTTTCATATTTCACTTTCAAAACTAAGGAAATTTTTATCTTATTTCCCCCCTCCCCCTTCCCCAGTTTTTCTCTTTAATTAGCTTTCTCGTGTCTACTCTTTATTTTATTGGAAGATAAAGAGAGTTTTTTTTTTTGTTTTGCATGCTTCTTGGGGGTCTTAATTTACCTTAAAACAAACCTTTCCTCTGTTTTAGTGGTTTTGTTCTTTAAAAAAAGTAAGCAAAGATGTTGCAGAGAGCTGCTAGCAATGCCTACTCATGGTGGATGGCTAGCCATATCAGAACAAAACAATCAAAATGGATGGAGCAAAACCTTCAAGGTAATATACATATATTATGTTGAATGTATTAGAATTTCTGTGTTTTTGTGTTTTCTCTTCATGCTGAATGCATAAGAATTTCCGGGTTTTGTTGTGTTTTTTTTCTTCATTTTGAATGCGTAAGAACTTCTGGGGCTTTAGTGTTTTTTTTTTGGTTGAATATGTCCAATGCATAAGAATTCTAATTTGAATATGGATTTAAATTTGGAAAACTGGGAAAATTTGTAGATATGGAGGAAAAGGTATCTGCAGTACTTAGACTCATCGAAGAAGATGGAGACTCCTTTATCCAGAAAGCCGAAATGTATTACAGAAAGAGACCTGAGATCGTAAATTTCGTTGAGGAATTTTTCCGAGCTTACCGTGCCTTAGCTGATCGATATGATCACTTATCAACTGATCTACAGAATGCGAACAACACCATCGCTGCAATTTGTCCCGATCAAGTCAGGGGCTTGGACGACGACGACGACTTTGATTTCCCATCAAGTTTCCTGAAAAAGCCATCAGATAACATGGGCAAAGTCCCCAGTGTTCCTAAGCTACCCGTTAAAGAATTGAAATTCATTGCGAATACGAAGAAGAAAGTGCAAGAGAAGAAGGTGACCAAACAGCCTGTTTCCACCGAGAACAAGTCCGGTGCGACGATGGAGGAGGGAATCAGCGAGATCGATCGGATTCAGAAACGAATCCTGGCATTGCAGACCGTGAAGGAATTTGTTAAGAGTTCTTATGAGAGTACATTGGCTAAGTACAGGGAAGTTGAGAATGAGATCAAAGAAGAGCAACAGAGAGTTGATAGATTGCAAGATGAATTCGGTGAAGGTAAGGTGATGGAAGACGACGAAGCTCGGAATTTAATGGCAGCAACCGCTTTTAAGTCGTGCAAAGAGACATTGGAGCAGCTTATAAAGAAATACGAGAGATCGGAGGTCGAAGCCGAAGTCGAGCAAAAGAGGATCAAAGCAGCAAGGGGGAAGGTGGATGCTCTGAAAAAGGTGTTCCTTTCGAAACAATCCGCAGCGGAAGTGACCAAAATCGCAGACCAAAGGGCAAAAAGAAGGAAAGAAAATGTGGATCATATCACCGAAAAGCCGAAGGACGACAGGGAGTCCGAGGCGGAGGCCGGCAGTGGTGATGCCAAGGCAGACGTGGCGGAGAAGATTGATGTGCTGGTGAATAAGGTGACGAGCTTAGAAACTTCAAATTCGTCTCAGGAAGCTCTTATTCAGAGATTGAAATCGGAAAATGATGAACTTCAAGGCCTAATTCAAAGCTTAGAAGAAGATAAGGCAAACCTGGTAGATGGAAAGCAGGATTTTAAGATGAAGATAATCAACTTGGAGCTTAAGTGGCAAGGGATTCAGGATTTGAGCCATAGTATTGAAAACCAAAAGAAAAATCTACAACCTCGTTTCAACGATGCACAGTCTAATCTTGATGAACTTTCCCAGAATGTGCAGCCGATCGAGAATCTCGAAGCCCTGAAAAGCTCGTCCGCAGTACCGAAGAATGAAACAAAAGAGAAGCCGAAGAAGGCGAAAGCAGGGAAAGAGTTCTTGAAGCCGAAAGCAAAATCCGAAGAACGTGTTGCAACCAACAATGCCGATGCGTCGAAAGAACTAAATTCCTTCCCAATATCTGCCAATGTTAATGCTGATGCATCGAAAGGATTAAATTCTGCGGCAAAATCAGCAGTTGGTGGTGCCAATGCATCGAAAGAGCTACATTCCATCCCAAGATCCGCAAACGAAGGTGCTAACAATGCATCGAAAGAACTACATTCCGTTCCGAAATCCGAAAATGAAGGAGACGAAAGTTCTAAGGTTTCAGAAAAATCTGATTATCTGAAAGCAATGGCTAAAGTTGTCGGACAAGCTTCATCACCGATAGCCGACACAGTGTCCAAATCTGATTTGAAAGAACATGAATTAGCTGCATTGTCTCAGACCTTGGAGGAAACCAAGAAGAAGCTCATGGAAGTCGAAACAAATCATCAGAACGAACTCTTTGAGATAACGTTGCAGTTAAAAGAGTTGAAGAACCTTATCGCCAAGAAAGACGAAGAGATTCGATCTTTACGTCTGAAACTAATCCGAGGCCAGACCGCTATCGGTAAGCCAAAGGACGAAGGAACTGATGAATCCCAAGAATATTCCGAGAAAATACCAGAGCCTAAAACAAAAACAACAGAACCACCTCAACCGGTCAAGAAAAAAGAGGAAGAAGACGAAGATTCGATCAAGATCCCAAAGCCGGTTTACGACGCTGAACCTACATCCACCATCGAAGAACAGTTCCGAACAGACATCGACGAACTGCTAGAAGAGAACTTGGATTTCTGGTTCAGGTTCAGCTCAACAATTTGCGAAGTACAAAAGTACCAAACCGGAGTTAAAGATTTAGAAGAAGAGGTAGTGAAACTAGAGGAAAGGCAAAAGAACGAAGGAAGTAGCACATCCAAATACTCTGCAAATTCAGACGTCCGACCATTATATAAACACCTGAGAGAAATGCAGACCGAACTGAATCTGTGGATCGAAAAGGGAATGTCATTGAAAGAAGAACTGAAGAACAGATCGGCGTCTTTATTTGAAATTCAAGAGGAGATCACCAAAGCACTGAAAGCGAGTGCCGAAGACGAGGAGTTCACGTTCACGAGTTTTCAAGCAGCGAAATTCCAAGGCGAAATATTGAACATGAAGCAAGAGAACAAGAGGGTTGGCGACAAACTACAAGCTGGTTTGGAACTGGCGACATCATTGCAACGTGATGCGGAGAGGGCACTGGCGAAGTTGAGTGACGACTGGGGACAATCGGGTTCGAAGAGCCGCCACGGCAGCGGGTCAGCGGAAGTTCGATCGAACGTGCCGTTGAGGTCGTTTATCTTTGGTGCGAAACAAAAGAAACAGAAGGCTTCCATATTTTCAGTGGTTCAACCTGCACTGCAAAAGAAGCAGAATAAATCAGGACATAGCAGTAGTAGATGATAAATGGTTCGACGCTGAATGTTTTGCTTATACTAATAAGTCTTAGACTAATAAATATGATATGAGAATAGATATGAACACAATACACATACAAAAGTGATCCAAGAACTGTTGCTCCTCGTCTTTGGTTTTTCTTTGATAGAAGCCCAAGGTAGAGTTGCATTGGAAAATTTGTACCATTAGAAGAGATTGTCTATCCGGTTTCCGTAGATATGGCGATTTTTTTTTTGTATTTCAAATTATTTTAGTCCATTTGTAGTACTATTTGACAATAATTTTTTTTCAATTTTTATTATAATATTTGTTTGTTTTTTAGAATTTTTTTATATTATTTTATTAATTGTTGAACAATTAGATAATACAAAAATAATAAATAGAAGTATCACCACCAATCATCGACATTGAACGATCTCACCTCTAACATTTATAGTGCTCGAACCCAGAATCTCCAGAAATAATAACAATTCATTTACTTTATTCGTGTTCATACAGACTTTCAGATCTGAAGAGCTATGAAGGCAACGGTTAAATAGAAGTTCATTCCATTGTGTCGTTGAGGTCATTTGTCTTTGATGTGAAACAAAGGTTTTTTTTTTAATCCAAATATCACCCAATAAATTATAATATACCAAAGCAGCACCCTTAATTGAATATATACCAAAATAGCACCACCCCTTTTGAGTATGAGGTAAAGGCACGTTTAGGTAAACGTACCTTGTAAACGTGGCAAGGAGACGTATTCTGAGGGGAGCACGTTGCATTAAGGTGGCACCGTGGCAAGACAATTGGGAAGCGCGTCTGTGGGACGAGCCTTCCCTGAATTTCCAAGCACCTTATGTTGATTTGACAGTAAATCTGTAAAATATATTTAAAAAATACACTTTAAATAAAAAAAAATTAAAAAAAATATAGGGACCAATAATGTAATTTGATACATATTAGATCTGTGAGTTAAAAAACATAATGATGTTAGTTTATATTGACATATTTGAGTGTTTATGCTATATTTATTAAAAATGTATGATAAAAGCTAAAAGAAGTTGTTATATCTTTTTCTCATGTAATCTATAATTTTTTATTTTTACTTAATCCATTAAATTTTATTATTAAAATAGATATGAATTGAAATTAAATATTTATATTTTTTTAAAATTTTTTGAATAAATATTTAATTTCAATTCATATATATTTTAATAATAAAATTTAATGGATTAAGTAAAAATAAAAAATTAAAGATTATATGAAAAACAGAAAACTCCTTTTAGCTTTTATTCTACATTGTTAACAAATATAGTATAGACACTCTACTATGTCTATATAAAATAACACCAGACTTTTTAATTCATGAAACTACTATGTATCAAATTACATTGTTGGTCTCTATAATTTTATTTTTTTGAATCTTTTTTAAAGTGTATTTTTAAAAAAATATGCTTTACATGTGTGTTGTTAAGGGTGCTTTACATGTTTTTAAAATTACTCCTTTCTCTACATGCGCCTTCTTACCTCGTATTTTGAAGTGGTGTTATTTTGGTATATATTCAATTAAAGGTGTTACTTTGATATATTATAATTTATTGAGTGATAATTGGATTCAAAAACCCGAAACAAAAGACTTCCATTTTTCTGTGGTGAAAAGTAGAATAAACCATAGCCTCTGAATGTTTTGCTTACATTAATAACATAACACTTCTTATTCGATGTAGTAAAAAGCTAAATTCAGAACACGAGGAATCTCCTCACATTAATCGTCACAGAACACTGTTAATCAATGTTTGTAGGTGATAGAGGATTAAACTTTAATCAGGAATTTAAATGACGATTGGATAGCGGAATAATTATCGCTATATAACAGTGACGACGGTATTTGAAATCACTATTACAGAAAATTACGATATGATACAAAATTACAGTAATAACGGTAGATCCCAGGGACGAGCCTTATCATCAGAATGATGCTTAAGAAATCATTTATTCCCAACAAAGCACCTCTGTATCTGAGCTCTGAGATTGGCTGCGATCGTTTACTCCATTTTTACTGTAATTTTCTCTACTTAATCACAATTTTGAAATTTATAAATTACGCTGAAGAATGTGATTTATTCAATGTAGTGAATGGTATACTTTAAAGTACCAAACCAATGAAAACTTGAGATCGTAAAATGCTTCCAAGTTGAAACCCATTCAACAAATGTGAATCCAAGTGTTTAAATTGGAACCAAAATATGAACAGAGAGGTTAAAAAAACATTCAATTGAAGGCGTCGGTTGTTATTATGATAACACAGTGTCACAGAATGCACGTGCGTCGTGGACAAATATTTTTGTATTAAAATGATCCCATCACTTGCTTTTCAGTCAATGGTCAAAAGTAGCGATTGCGCCAGTCTTTGACCTTAAAAACACAAATTAATTAATAAAGACGAGATTAATCAAATAACAATCATATAATATAATATAATTCTTAAAAACTGTCATTCTTGTTTATACACACATATTTCTCCCAAATCATGTTAATATATTAATGCATCTAAAGAAACAATACATGGCATGATTAATAATATATATAAATAAACTTGTGTATACCTGTCATTACAGCAAAAATATAGAACATGCACGTGTGTCTAATAATAATATAATCATGAACAGACATGATTTTATTTTACGAGGTGATTTTGTAAACTTTTAATGATAAAAATGAATTATTAATAAAAATATAAAAAAATAATTTTTTTAGAGAGAACCATAAACCTCAACTCTTCTTAGTCTATACATATTCGTGAAATCATATAAATCTTTAATTTTCAGGAAATTTAATGATTGTGCGTTTGCGAGAGAAATTTGGAGTAATGTTATCCGGTTGTGTTATGTTCACCGGGTGGTGGGGAGTAGTTATAGTAAAATTAAAGTTGCATCATTTGATATGTATGGGGTACGAAGTGCTGAATGTGACGTAATATGCAGTTAAAGGGTGCATGAACCAAAGTCAGCAAAAGACGCAGCTTATTGCAGGAAAGATAAGATTTTGATCCCAACAACTTACGACCAGTTGCATGCCATGTTCCCACTGTATCCATCCATTTAACGGTTCGAACTATAAATAGAATTAATCATAAATATAATAAATTTATAACATAAAATAATTTAAATATGGTTAAATTAATTTATAAATCTAATAGTTTTGGTCAATTTGCCCTTAAAATTTTAGAGTAAAATTTATTATTATTTCTTAATCTCATCTAATCTTACAGATTTATTTTCCTTATTTGTCAAAGTAATCCCTTGATCAGTGAAGATTTATCTTGTCCATTCTATATATCTCTCCGGTTGTCACCCAAAAGGATATAGATTTTTTTAATAGCTTTGTGTTGGGGTTCAAGTTGCTCCAAGGTAGGGTAAATAGGCGCAAGGGACTTAGCGTCGCAAGGACATGAGGGCGTGAATTAGATCTGGTCAGAAAGATTCGACGTGTTCAAAATAAAAGGCTGCAGTCTGGAGTGATGGTAAAACATAGACGGTCTAGTTAAGACGACTGTCGGTTTCTAATTTGGGGTTGAAGTCGAAAAGGTTAGGGAGGAAGAAGCTCATTGAAATGATGGAGGTTTCCTATGACATGAGCCGAACGACAAAGGAGCAGAAGCTATGCTCAGGTCGCGATTTACGAAGGGAAATGAAATCAATAGCATGAAGATGACGACGAGGATTATCGAAAGAGATGAAACTGAAACAAATTAGACATTTGTATATTAAATCTCTAAACTTGACAGTTTTAAAAGTAGGGATATATACTCAAAAAGCATTAATAAATTATTTTAAATTATTAATGAACTATTAATAAATTATTAAATTTAAATATTATAGATTTATTGAATTATTCTGAAATATGACAAATTCGATAAAATATATAAGTTTTAAGGATTAAAATTATTAATATATCATGCCCGTTAAATCAATGGTCAAATCTAACAACGAATTACTAAATAAAAATGCAACGTAATATTAATCATAATTTAAAAAAATAGTTTAATAACTAAAATAATAATTTAGAAATAGACGAGTGATCAAATATTTAGTTTACACTTATTATTTAAAAGAAAAAATAATCTCAGTGACCGAAATTTCCTTATAATATACGATTTTGACCAAAAAAAATTTTATTTGCCAAAATGACCAACAAAATCGCAATGCGATCTCTAAATCGCAACGCGATCTCCAGTATCGCAAATCAGTTTCCAGATTCGCAACGCGATTTTGACTATCGCAACGCGATTCTGACTATTGCAACGCTATAATACATAATCGCAACGCGATAATACATAATCGCAACGCTATTCTGACTATCGCAACACTGAATTTCAAATTCGCAACAGGTTTTAGTTTCGCAACACAAATATTTTGGGTATATAACTACGCAGCAGAAGCAACTCATAACCTAAATCCCTAAATCGCAACTAATTCCATCTCCATCTATCACTCTCTCCGGTGACATCCGTTCCTATATCCAACGACATCCTTCCCCATCCGGCAACAGGTTTTAGTTTCGCAGCTCGTTTGTTTAGTAAATTAATTTACAATAATGAAATCATCTAATGTTGATCATGTTTGGATAGATTTGTGTTTTGGAGGGTCATGGGAGAATGTTCATGGTGTTTTACAATATATGCCTTTACCCATGAATCTTCAACTAAAACTATCATTAAAAAAATTAACTTATGAAACTCTAATGTTATGTGTTGCAATTAAATTGAATTTAGAGCCCTTAAGTGGATTTAGGCTATCTTATCAGAGAAAATGTAAAGTTTATTTGTTAACCGACAATGAAGATGTTGAATGATTCATTGCTTACATTAGTGTTTCGCAAGATGATGTTACATTGTATGTTGTTGAACCTAGAAGTAGTGAAGTTGGGTCAGTAGCGGGTAGTAATCAACTAAGTTTTTCAACCCAGTTTATGGTGCTCAAAATTTAATGGTTCCACCACAATTTCATCACCAAGTAAATTTTGTTTCACCACATTTCCAATACCAAACACAATCTCA